CAGGAAGACTCCCATATCCACTGCACATGATGGAGCGAACAGTCGCCACCCCCCTTGAAACCCCTCGCGACCCTGACACGTTGACGACCGACATGCGGCACGGTGATGGCTGTCGATTTAACAGTGGTGAAACTGCCGTATTTTTCTGCAGTCGTATTTGTTTATGGTGTTGCTGTTTCAGACATGCTAGACTCATCGTTGCTGCAACTGCAGAAACAGCACCTGATGCCTAACGATGACAACAAAGACTCCGGCACTGAGTCCGACGAAGAGCTGGAGCAGATCGAAACCAGTACGTCGATTTTCATCGTTACATAGTCGCAACCCCCTGATCCATCTCGTCCCTCCGGTTTCAACTTGCCACTTCCTGTCTTTTTTACTTTAAACCGGCTTTTTTGCCCCTGCCTTCGTTGCAGTGCTCGGCGGCGATGCGCTTTTTTACCTCTTTTTCTCAGACCTGGTTTCGTACGTTCGGAAAGAACGCCAACTACGTTTGGAATCACTGTCTGCTGATGCTTTCAACAGCACTGACTAATCACCTAATCGCCGTAGTCGATTTTAGACATAGTGTCTGTTTCGCGTCGTCTGATCACGGAGTCAAGCAGTAGGTATGGGTAGCGCTGTTTTCGGTGATGTCCGTCAATTGCCTGACAGTTCATCCGTAAAAATTCATTTTAATCTACGCATGACAGAGGTTCTCGCTGTTTGACGATGGTCAAAGAGCAAGACAAAGACTGGTCCATAAATTTATATCCTGTTAACTAATTTTCATCATATTTTACTATATTCTGTTCTAAAAGTTTTTCATAAAAAATCTTCATTTTTCTTTTTTTATATAAGGCAACGTGAATTCCTCGTCTCCGACTCATTGTATTTAAAACCTTTTTAAAATAAAATGATTGATGGCTGGGCAGAAGCTATAAAATATCGTCGTTATTAAAACTAGAAACGCAGACGCCGTCACTGGCACTGCGTAAAATCTCCAGTTTTATTACTCTAGGAAGGACTAAAGCGATAGCATTCTAAAATAAAATATTCGGACAAAACGAGATAACAAAAATACATCAGAACTAAATTTACTCCATAATTTTAAATGAATTGCTGTCTTGAAACTGGCCTTGTTTCCAAAGAAAATAATCTTGTCACTCTGACCTCCCATTGCTAATCTGTAGGTGCGAAACACAGGCTTTCAGCCTGAATGCTATTCATAAATTGCAGACCACGCAATGTAGCATAGAAAAATGTTGGAAATGATGAAAAAGATGCGAAGGCTAATGAATGGGCAAAAGCACAGAAGAGTGTGCGATGTCACTGCACAAGTGAAGTAGCTGGTGTTTTTGTGCAGAAAACGTTACCGGAAGAACTGAACATCACTGGACTAGAGAGAAATTAGAATAGGTTCAACGGAATCCGGTTTCTTTGAATTACAGAAAACAGTAGTTTATGACAGTGTTGTACGATCCTTCATTCAGCAGTGGATCGGTAGCGAGAGTTGTTAATAACTAACTTTGAAAAATCAGCCACTCGTTTTTTTTAATTTTATTTAATCTAAGTAATTCGCGTTTCATTAGTTTTATGGACATGTAGGAATCTGAGGTCGAAATACTGCTGGCAATGGAAACGATTTTTATTGCTGATCCCACATTTTGCTTAAGGCCAGGACATCTAAGCCGGTGCTGGGTCAAATTCACAGGAGAAAAGTCATCGTTTGGGAACATATCCTATCACTGGCATTTTGTTCTGAATCTGATTAAATGTAAGAGAGAGAAGCACACTCTACGTTTCAGTTGCGTCTGATTTATGGAGATTATCATGAAAAACAGAGCACTCCTGGCAGATCGCATGAAAACAGCGTTAGTGCCGCCGTTTAAGATCTCTAAAATAGATGTTAACATTGCCAACGTTGAAATGCACTGAAGACTTACTTCTAGACTGTTACTAATTGCTCGTCATTTCTCGTTTCCACGCGTAAGTGAAAAGTGATTTAGAAGCCATATCCTTTGTTTGTTCTCTCGTTCTTTGCAAGTCTGATGTTAATCAGTACTTCTTGATGATACCAAAAGGTTGAACAAATTTCACACATCAAGTGAATATCCGAGGATGACCGAGATGAATTTTGAAATTCATTTGGAGTATTTCATGCTTTCGCTCAAATCTGTTAAATCAGTTTGTATACAAAATTTTTAATTGAATCCGTTAATTTTTTTAATTCACCGTGTTAGCCCCAAGTATGCCGTTGTTAACAAAAGATTTCGTAAATGTACAAATTCAGGGTTTCTTACGATTTAGTAAGCAGCTCATGATGCAGTTTTGCAGCTGTTAAAGGAAAAGCAGTATCTTTGGAGCGCAAACTCTGCTCTGTTGGACAGTAGCCAAAGATGAGTCTTTTTCGCTGTCAAGATTCAAGAAAAACCAGAGTGAATAAGAACTGCTCGGCGGAAAGATTTTAAATGATCAGGTATATTGGTTACCGATGGATGTGTGTCGAGGACAAGGTTACAAAAGGTTTATCAGAGGTAGGCATTGAAGACAGAAATAGGGAACATTTATAATTAGCGTCTACAATGGGCGAAACAGCCACTGTTCGTCTGAATTTGCCGTCTTGAGAGATTCCGTTACTGCTGCGATAGTTTGGCACCGCGATAGCAGTGATGTATGAAATCGAATGTGTATGCTGAGTTGACGTCAGAGACACCAGAAGATTAAAACAGCTCCAGGGATAAGGTAAAATAAATATTGGCTATAGTGCCAAGACTTTTCTGCTGTAGGCCATTCTTTTGCAGACTGAGGCCTCGATTTTAGGACTTTTCTTGATTTTGATTCTGTAGATATATGACATTTTTCGCTATCGTTATAAAATTTTATTTATCGATTTAGCCAAGATCTTGATTCCGTCTGATTATGGGTAGAGAAACAGTGATGGCGGCAAAGGTTGAGGTACTTATTGTTGCGTTGTCATCATTATTTGAATTTAGCAGAGCTTATACAGCAGAATAACCCAGATTTATGTTGTTTGACCGTTAGAAATAGTATTTTGGTTGAGGTACTTAACAGCGATTCGCTAATGTTAATCACCTTTCAAATCGTGCTACATGAATTGTAGAAATCGGATTTGAATCGAAGACGATTGCTTTGATGGTGAAAGATAAGAGGGGAGAGTTTTGTGTTGACTCTGACTGTAACTTAACATTTAACAAGGAGCACCTTAATTTAAACGAAGAGTGTTGACAGCAGCTAACTGCCAAACATTGCGTCTAATCTCCTGTTTCCTTCCCTCATTAAGTAGTCAGTGATCAGCATCGGAAGGAATAAAGGCGAATGAACCTGACCAAGACTCGAATTCGAAAACTCTGGCTCTGAGTCCGACGTTATACCGACTTAGCAGCTCCTTATGTTGGTCTCGACTCTGTTCAAGCTTGTCCACGTTCATGGCAGACAATGTCTCTAATCATCTTGACAAAACAGTAATGTATTGTATGAAGCAAATAAGCTTAGTAAGGCAAACAGTTCAGCAGGACGACTTTTATGTTCATACTGCCGTTTGCTTCAGATCATGAAAGCATCGGTTGGTAGCATTAGGATTTTGCGTTTTGATTTACTGGCATTAGCATTTTGGTTGGACCATGACGATCTAGCTTAATGATGCATGAAGAATGTAAATTTCAGATGTCTCTTTATTGGAATTAATTCCATGATGGCTATTAAGGAAATACTGTTGTTGGTAATATGTTAACTTGCTAATCTTATTATTAAATACCTTTTCTAGTTTATTGGTTAATAACATAAAAGAAATCATTGCCTTTCGTGTTGTTATTCATGAAACCGGGAGATTTGATCATTTTTCTGTCATGCATGGCACGGTATTGATAGATGTCGGTAGGTATCATTAACCGGCGTTGGTCACCAGAATTGCTGAAGACACTGAACATAGCGAATCGTCCTTAAAAAGTTATCTCCTGCGATGGTTATAGTGGTGCTTTCGCTCACATATGAAAGTAACATTCAGAAACGACGGCCACTTCAGATACTGTAATGCGTAATATCAATGGCTGTCGTTTCCAAAATCCTCTTGCATATCTCTGAATGAATGGGACACCTGAATGCAACACCCACGTGTGAACATGGCTTTCCATGGTGTATTCGCCTGGAAATTGTTGCTGCTTGGTCGCAGTGCTTGCAGCTGTTTGTTCGCACCCAGTAGCTTACGTCTGTCGATAGTAATAATAGCAGTGCTGTAGTTCTGAATCATAGTTAATCTCCCATGGCCCTTCGTTTCTCTGCCGTCATTATGAACCTTGAGAAAACAAAATACCAGCTGTTAAAATTTGCCGCAGGTCTATCACTGACGTTTCTTTACATATGAGAATAGCTGAGTGGCTATCTTATATCTCTGCTCTTTTTCCTTCACGATCCCTTCTCATTAGTGGGCAGTAGTTTTGAACCTATTCATCATTTCTCCTAGGATGAACAGGATCGGGATCACTCATTCGTTTTCAAAGCCCGCTTTCATCTCAGAGTCGGAAACTTCCAGAGGTTTTTCCAATGTTTCCGGTCATCCGCCAATCAGTTTTTCTTTATTGGCTGGCTTGCATGGAGCAACAATGCAAGGTAAAGCCAGGCTTGACATAAATTCGCTATGCCAACAGTGCCAGCCTTGCGAGTCTCTCCTCTGGCATCCTCATCACGCGTTCAAACAGCTTTAACTGTTTATCGTCGATCCCCAGAAGGTGCTACTCATAAACAGTGATGTTAGGTACCGTATTCTGAAATTTGCCGAACAACCACATAACACCAAATTTCTTATGAATTATTATTCTAGTTTAAGCCGCCTGTTTTATGGTTCGCACTCTTCGGTCGATGTCCAGCACTGAACACCATTGATGAACCATTCAAAGAGTGCTTCGCCATGAATTTGCCTTAACGCTTCAAAATATTCTGTCAGCTGCTGGATACGTTTACCTTATTAGTCAGTATTTTCGCGTTGGATTTTCACAACTGTCTTAACAGCTCTGGACATACGCACTGCCTTATGTCGCCGTGGTTTGCAATCGTATCTGTCGTCTTGTCATTCGGTCCTGTCTCCTGTAGAGAAAGCTTTTGCTAGGTTAATTTTGTGGAAAACAACGGTTCATGTGAATGCATCGTTGTTCTTTGTGACTTCAGAAACCTCTGCATTTTTTAATACATTTCAGGGAAATCTAAGCCTTCGGCGTAAGTGAAAGAAAATAAAAAGTTGGGCAGTGTCGGTCTCAACTATCATGATTAGACCATTTTGGCGCTCTTCTTTTCATGAAGTTGATGGTGCGATGCTGATCTCC